CACGCAGGGCCTCCTCCTACAGGAAGTCCTCCTGCCCTTCTCGCTCACAGCACCAGAGCCTGCACCTGTGTGCCTATTGGATTAGGAGGGAAACTAACAAGATGCCGCCGACGGGGGGTTGTTGAGCCTCAGAACCTGATTCTCTCCCGGCCCTGAGGTTGGGCATCCAAGACCTGGTGCTGCTGGGGTGGCCAGCCGTCCTTGGGGCCCCTGGGTGTGGCCGCATGACGCCCACGTCGGCTCTGTGCCTCCACTGGGCCTCTCGAATCGCCGTGTCCTCTGACAGGGCCGGTCCTCTGGTGCAGGGCTCTCACGAAACCCAGGTGGATCCCATTTGATCCGTAACTGATCGCACCTGCAAAGACCCATTTCCAAATGCGGTCACGTGCCAGGGGCGGGGCTAGGACTGGGACACGTCTTTTTTGGAGCCACCATTTGACCCACGACTCCTGACAGCTCCCTATGGCCTGACGGGGCCTGGTTTGTTCCTCCAAAATGCCGGGTACCCTGCCCACCCCCTGACGCTTAGTAGGTGCACAATGAGGACTAACTGTGTTCATTCACTGATTCACTGGGCAGCTTAGCCACTGGCCCCAACAGCATCAGAACTCCAGGCCCCGACCAAACCCCGACCCCGTGCAGCCAGAAGGGGCAGCGGGCCAGGTCACGCTGTGCGGTCCACCCCGCAGTCCCACGTCCAATGCCGTCCCAGGTCCTTCCGTGTGGGGCAGGACAGACGGAGCCGCTGGTCCTGGGCGCTCCCGGGCCTGGCTTCCCGTGGCTCCGCAAGGCCAGTTCTGCTGCCCAGACAGATTGTCCCGTGACTGACAGATCCTGACACCACCTGTCATCGCTGGCACCTGCCACCCCGGCCCCGTCCTGGGCCCCGCGGGGCCGTGAACCTTGGGCCACAGTTCAAAGCCGCTGATGCCGGCCTCCTGGGGTCCCGTGGGGCAGACCCCGGGAGCGTCTGGCTCCGGTGTGTTCCGGGAACCACGGCGGCGCGCGGCACACAGTGGGGCTGCTGGGAGGTGAGACGGGCCCCAGGAGAGTTTCGAGACAGACTGTGTCTCCCACAGCAGCCTGGGGCCCGCACCCGGGACACTGCCTGTGGGAGCCCCTCACGGCGGCACCTGCGCCAGAGTCGCCATCACAACCTCCGACCGTGGGGACCGTGGGGGAAGCCGTGTCCTCTAAGCTGCACCGTGTGCGGCCCCCACGGATGCTGGTGGGGGACGGGGTGCCCACCCCATCACCTCCCACAGCTCCTGCCGGGGGAGCTGGCAAAGGAGGGTGCCTGTGGGCGCCTTACAGTGCCCGTCCCGTTCAGAGCGCACAGGTGAAGAGACCATGGCCGGGTTACATTCCCTTATTCAGTGGACACAGGTGGCATCCCCCCGAGACGGGAGGTGTGTCGCTTGGGAGGACCCGCCGTGCGTGGGTGAGCGGGCAGAAGGGCTCTCTCGGAGGCATGGGCAGTGCTCAGAGGGCCCCTCATGGGAGAATGTGTGCTGCTGCCTCTCATTCGGAAGGTTTGGGGTGCAGGGCCCACAGGTTAGCCAATACAAAGGGGGTGCAGGCTGAGGGAGCCTGGCACATGTCGGGGGTGCTGCACAGACCCACGGGCGCGGAGGGGGGTGAGTTATACGGACGTGTTCGGGGCACTTCAGGGGTGAACGTGAGCCGAGGGGACCCCACAGGAAGGCAGGGCCGTGACTGTGGCCCCTGGTCCATGGCCCCTGGCAGCAAAGCCGTGAGGCGTGGCCACTTGGGGTGGCGGTTTATTTCACTGGACCGCACCCCCAGGGGCCAGTGGCCTGACTCCTGAGCGCCCACCACGGTCACCAGGAGAGAGTGACAGGACGTGGTCACCCCAGGGGGGACTCAGCACGTGCTCCGACAGTGGAGACCCTGAGCGGACCAGGACGGGCACAGGGACAGGCTGGTCATTGGCCCCAAGGGGTTGGCACCTGCAAACTCCGGCCCTGCTCAGGGTGGTTGCCGCGTAGCCCTGGGGTCAGAGCAGAACTGGGGTTTGTGCTGA